CAATGCAATTAGTATCAAATCTGAAGCTAATTGGGGACAAATTTCTGCATGTAGATTTAACATGTTTTTGAAAGTCAGGCACAAACTCGCAAAACAGAAATCAGTAGTATCTGCTGTCATTGTGTCCACAGAGGAGGCACTGGTGCAGTGAACCACGATGGTATTACCTTCTGTGGATTTGTTTGGACTGTTAGAAAAAAAATAGCAGAATAAAATTATTTGGGAAAAGGTCTCTGCAAGGGCGGGTACAAATAAATGCAAGGGGAACCAACCAATTATTATGCAATTAAACCAAATATCATAACCAAAAAACAAAATGGAACATTCACAACAGAGTGTGTAAAGGGTGCTTTGTGGCAAGTCAAAGTACAAACCTCTGACTTGTGGTTAAAGGGTTTTTTTCCTCCCTTAAATGTTCTTTACAGACTCTGCATGAAGCAGAGTTAACTCTAAAATTTTTATGGGCCTATATTGATCCATAATATTTTCGCTCCAGGTGATAGTGGAGGTACTTTTTATGGAAAGAGCACTATAAAGAACATTTATCGGTAATATCCTCATTATGAACTTTAAGATAGTTGTTTTCATTATTATCACCAGTTCTTAGAACTTCACCTTTCTTTTATGACCCCTCAAAAACTGCCAGTATTACACACAGTTTACTTATCTAAATGGAGGGAGGAGCTAACTGCAGTGCACATCTTATCCTTTGTGCACATAATCATCATAGGTTGTCTGCAAAATGCCCACTTAATACACATGCAAGCTTTTTTGTGTCCATCCAATTTAGCGCTAAATATTATTTAAAGATCAAGCCGTCAGAATTTAGTTTAAGGGCATAGTAAAGATTTTATCTAAAAAAAAAACTTGAACTGATGTAGAAAGTGCTGAATAACAACCAAGTTAGCAGGGAATAGTCAAGTCTGAGTAAACGGACCACTAGTGCAATGCCAAAGACTTTGTTGGGAAACGGAAACTGGATCACTGTCTTTAGGTTTAAATAAAGGATTTTATGTAAGAAGAAGGACTGAACCAGCACATAGTCAGGTTGAAAAGCAGGTGAACCTTTCAGGAAAAGGGTTACGGGGTTGGTAAATAGTTTTTGTAGTGATGCAAACCAAGTTCCGGCTGAGCTGAAAGGTTTAGTTAATCTCTTGGTCTACATCTACATTCTATGCCTTTTTTACAGATATGTCTCCTGGGGCTGCCAAACATAACAGAAAAACTGACATTACAGAGACAATGACTCAATTACTATAATATAGACTATGGCTGAAACAAAGACAACATGAATGGGATGAAACAAAGGCAATGAGAAAGCAATAACTGCAACGTTGACAGCGTGGAGACATATGTTAAAATTACACAGTGTAAGAATGACTTTAACATTGATATGTATGGGATCACAAAAAATTTAATTATGAAAAAAATAATGGACCTAGAACATCATGTATATAAGGACTCAAAGAATTAAATTATGTATGCAATGGATGAAACAATGTCAACCTGATAGGACTGGAACAAAGAATGACGTCATGTGTATGACCACTTAGACAAATACTTATATTCCATACCCTTAATACCTGTATAATCTGTATATAGAGTTCATATTTTTTATTTTTAATAGCTTACAATTACTCTCTGTTTATATATACCATTTATAGTCCATATATACATAGTTTCTCTACACCTCACGGATAGATGCAAACTACATTTCATTGCTTTTTACTTGTGATAGGGTAATGACAATAAAGTTGAAATCTATTCTATTCTAAACAATGACTAGTTGGAGACAATGTGCCTCATGCAAGAAATGGAATTTGGTCTTAAATTTCTTTTTAAATGATCTGTCACCATGCCAACAGCTGGTATTTCAGCATCCATGGGACAAAGGAAAGAAAATACAGACAGCCAGCTCTATGTGAGATTGAGCTACCATTGAAATGTGATGCAGAAAAACTAGTCCATGCATTCGTTACTTCAAGGCTGGACTATTGTAATTCTTTACTATCAGGAAGTCCACAAACTGTTGTTAAAAGCCTTCAGCTGATCCAAAATGCTGCAGCCAGAGTTCTGATGAAAATTAAAAAGAGACATCATATCTCTACTATCCTAACTTCTCTTTATTGGCTTCCTGTTAAATCAGGAATAGAATTTCTAATCCTCCTCAAATATAAATGCCTTTAATGACCAAGCTCCATCTGATGTCAGAGATATGATTGTTCCTAATGTTCCTAACAGAGCACTTTGCTCTCAATCTTCAGGTGTACTAGTGGTTCCTAGAATTTCTAAAAATAGAATGGGAGGCAGATCTTTTAGTTATCAGGCTCCTCTCCTGTGGAACCAACCAGTTCCAGTTTTTAGGGTAGGCTTAAAACTTTCTTTTTTGATAAAGCTTATAGTTAGAGGGGCTCAGGTTATCCTGAGCTATCTCTATAGTTATGCTGCTATAGGCTTAGACTTCTAGAGGACATAGGGACCCCTTTTTCATCATTCTGCTTCATTCTATCTCTATTCTTCAACTCTGCAGAACCTTTTAGTTCAATCTCTGATGTCATGCTCTCTCTGCCTGGCTGTGTGTTTCCTGGACGTGTCAGGGTTTGGTTGTGGTTTAGAGGACCCAAATGCAGAGGCAGAGAGGCTGAGGTGATTTCTTGTAGTTTTAATGCAAACACTAATAACAATTACAGTTGCCTTTTGTATCCCTGCTTCTGTCTCCTTGAACCCCAGTCAGCCTCAGCAGATGGCCGCTCACAATCTTCCTGTTAAGAGGGAGTTTTTCCTCTCCACTGTCGCTAAAAGCATGCTTAGTGTGAGGGATTGCCTTCGAGTCAATGATGCAATCAACTGGTTTTCCATGGCAGCTCCTTGGCTTTGTTATTACACAAGATGTGGAAAGTTTGGGTCACTCTGAATTCATCAATTTAGAGATTCCCTGTTAACAGTTAATGCCTTTTATGGGAGGGATGGAGAGTGAAATGAAGGGCTGACAGAAGTGGTTTTTAGATATACAAGACAGGTGTAATGATTTTAATTTTTGGTTATACTTGTAGTTTCAACTTCTGTAACAGTCCCACCAAAGCATTTACAACTCTTGTGATATGTTCTCCACTGCTTAGTTTTTACTAGTCCTTTAATTCTGTCACTCAGTTGTCAGTTGGCAGAATCTTTATTTCTAAAACAGTGAAGGTTCTCTTTAAATATATCATTTATTTTCAATGCCTGTTTGTGAATAAACACTTTTTGACAAGCGTGGGAATTTATACCCTTATATGGCATTAATGGAGCAGTCTTTATGCAGATTTAAATTTCTCAGAAATGCACACTAATGCACCGGTGGACTGCATTGGGTTTACGTGGATCATTTACAATAATTTGGTGAAGTCAAGAAGCTTTGTTGAGTCTGATGTGGTGCACTGGGTGCACTCATAGGAGCCTACGGTAGAAGAGAAGTAAGAAAAATTTACATCAAGAATACGAAAAATGCTGCATGAGGCCCGTAGGGTAAAAGACACTTTGATCAGAATGAATAAAACAGGGAAACCATGGAAAAAATGACATCGATAGAATGAAGTAAACCATGAGTAAGCAAACAGAATGACAAAATGTAAAAAATGAAATCAGGCAGTCAATAACCGAAACACTGACTACATAGATCCAATGGCTTAAAAAATGATACATTGGCTACATCAATGCTGATGTATAGAAAAACTGAAAGAGTCATATCATGGACAGAATTACTGAAACAATTAATTTGGAATCAATAACTGTAATAATGAAATGAGCACACCGGCTATAAGAAAAATTACCATGGACTGAATGCCTTAAACACTTGACACAATGCACAGGATGACAGAAACAGTTACATCATTGATAGATCAAATGAAAGAACAACACCATGAAGAGAATGATTGCACCTGTGTCAGCATTTAGACAATATCTGAAACAATAACATCCCTGAGAAAATAACTCAAAACATGTCATAAATGCAGTAACTGAAGCTATGGTATCATGGATAAAATGAAACAATCGCATGGTAGAGACACTGGCTCAAAAATGACAATATGCAGACAATGAATAAAAGAATTACATCTTAGAAAAAAATAACTGAGCCTATATGACATTATTGAGACAGTGATATCAGGGGAGCATTGGTTGACTAATGCCTGGAACATAAATGGAAACATTGGCTGCAATAATGATAGCATAAAACGATGACACAATAAACCGAATGACTGAACAATGACATCATAGTTATAATGACTGAAACGACAATGTATAGACAGTGGCTGTGTCCGAGCGTCCGCCCTTTCCCCTAAACCCCTCAATCAATATATATAGAGCGGGGACTATATAGTGGACTTTATAGTGAACTCGGTTAACTGATCTTTCGGACAGATGATTACTACTTTCCACCCCCCGTTGGTCACATAACTCCACCTCCCCACACGGTTCCTGCGCCTTTTTGTCACTACCCACCAGTGGGCCGCTGTCACAACAAATCCCAATATGCTTTGTGAGGAGAGCTCTTGCAAAGCAATCTGGGACATATCTGCTCGTCTAATGACCATGGATGATCACTCTTTCAATATGCATTGTGGGAAATTGCGTTTACAGTACTTTTTCATCCAAGACGTTCAGGCACTCATTTAAAATGGCTTAATCACTATATAGTGCCCTATATATTGATTAGGACAGACATTCGGACACAGCCAATCATTAAAATGACACAATGGAGATTTACAGAAACATTGATACATTATTTGGTTGTTGGCTCCTCTGGTGCAATTATTCATTATATTAAAAAAATAGAAATCAGACATGTGGGACAATTCCTATATTTAAAACTAGGGGAAGCTTTAAATCCAAAGCTTGAGTAAATACAGTATATCAGTTCGCAAAATCTGAAGGTTTAGTTTCATTATTTAGAAATTCCCGGATCAGTGTTTTTCCCCTCAGATTCATCTTAACTCAGTCCCTCTTTCATTCTTTCCTTCCAGATCCCACAGATCAGCTATGCATCCACTGCTCCAGAACTAAGCGATGACCGCCGCTACGACTTCTTCTCACGAGTTGTTCCTCCAGACAGCTTCCAGGCACAGGCCATGGTGGACATCGTTAAAGCCATGGGCTGGAACTACGTCTCCACGGTAGCCTCTGAGGGGAGCTATGGGGAAAAGGGGGTGGACGCCTTCATGCAACTCTCCAGAGAAGCAGGTAAGATGGAGTCCGGATCTGATGGATGTGTTTCAGAATCCACACCATGCTGAGTTAAAGTCGTCCTGGTCAGGGTTAGTGTTTTGCAGTATGATGGAGCTGCTCCAGACTTTGAGCTTCGTTTTAACAGCGGCCAATTGAAAGTCTGCAGATTGTGTCTGCATCTCTTTCTGCTGTCTGTCTGCTGTCACACCAGCTGCTCCTTTTCTCTGAAATCTGCCAGTCTGCAGAGCCCTGTTGAAATTCTCAGCTCATTCTCTTCTTACTGTAAGCCGTGGTTGTGGATGAAGACTAACAGAATGTTTCTGTGGTTGTTAAATATTTATGCAGCACTTTAAACGTGTTGTTTGTATCATTACATCCATAACTACGTTTTAATGAGTAAAATCTACATTTTATTTATTTATTCACAGAAAAACAAGCAGCAGATTAATGAAGATTTAACGGCACCAACTGTGACCGGTACCCATCCTTTAGCAGCTGCTGTTATTAACACTCCTGTTGCTATGACAACGCTGCAGCGATGGATTTCCCAAAGCTGTTTGGTTTTGCAGAGTTTACATTAGACTGTAACACGATTTAAGTCTAGATAACCTCATGTGCGTTTTTTGTACTGTAGCTCTATTTTGCTACAGTCTCAGATCATCACTGATCATTGATCCTGTGGGACAATAAAAGTATTTCTGTTCTATTCAACTGATCATTCCATGCAGACTGGACTGTTAGTCAGCCCAGACCTTTAACAGCTAAAATCTTTGAGCTGTCACTACAGAACGATCAGGACTCGAGCAGTGTTTGGTTTGGTTCTACCTGTAAGCTGATCAGAGATTTTCAGGTTTCTAATCAGAAAATTAGACCCACATATTGTCTATGAGGATATTTTCATTTGACACCATCATTAAGTGTTAGACAAAGAAGGTGACTTAACCCTAGTTGGGTTGTTTGTGTGTTACATTCAGTTCATGTTTGTGAATTTGGTCAGATCCTTCTTCAGTAAAATTGTTTTTGAATCCTTCAGTATCAAATGTTAGATGGACAGAATCAACTTTGTGTTAATCAGTCCCGTCTTTTAAACGAAGGACACTGATTGGCTGTGGAGAATGTTGTGTACTTATATGCATTCATTAATTGATTTTTTTATATTAATTAAATAACTTTGTCATGATCTATTTAAGGATCTGACCCAAAATGCAGAGAAGCACTCAGAGAGCAAGGCAAAGGGTTAAACAGGTTTATTGTGGTAAGCGTTTAGGGGTTGGATCTGGTACTCAGAGGGCTGGTGAACCGGACTGGAAGGGAGGAGGGAAGTTCACAGAGGTGAGTTCAGGTATGGTGGGAATCTTGGATGCCGTAAGGATAATAAAATTAAGGGGACTCACATTTGAGAGGGTTCTTCTCTCGCCTAGAATCCAGTCTGTGTGGGTTAACCAAGTGAAGATGGGACTCGGAGAGTGGACAGGTAAACCCAGAGGAGTATGAGAGGACTGTCACTCGGAAATCCAGGAGAACTTTAATGGAACTTGTGGAGGTTAATCCCCTGCTCAGTGTGAGACTCAAAAAATCCTTCAAGGGGAAGAAGGCCAAAAATCCAGCTTGCAGGATAACTTCCTGCCGAAAAGGCAAAGACAAAAACAAGGTTAGACTCAGTGAAAAAAAGACTCAGTTAGAACTCAGATAAACTCAGCTTGGCTAGAGTACCCAAAACTGGCAAACACTCTGGCCTCGAGGTAGTGACAGTCCACTGCTTAAGTACTCCTCCTGATAATGATCCAACGAGAAGCAGGTGTGCAGGGAGGACCAGCGAGGACAGGGCGCCACCTGGTGGTGGAGGGAGAGACAAACACAAACAACAGACCACACAAACTGGATTCCTCACAAACTTTTGCTCTTTCCTATTTTCTCCCATGAACACAAGCCTAAATAGCTGTTGTGGTAAAAAAAAAAACAGATAGGAAATTCAAGCATCAGCTTTGTCAAACTGTTCTGATCTGCACACATACAGTATGGAATATATTCTATTCAAAATGTACAAACTTTTTTAACAAAAACAATTTAAACAGCAGACAAATGCTGAATCTAATTTTTGATTATATTTTCTATTTTTCATATTTGAACTAAACTGCAGTTATTTCGATATTTTCTATTTTTCACTTATGTTCTTTTACTTTGAAAGTAGCTACCTATGTGAGCTGCACTATAGCTAATATTCAATATTCCTGTTATTGTTGCTATTTTTAAATAGAAATGATTACCTTCAACTCCATGGCTTTGTATTTAATCCTTCTGGTCCATCTCAAACTTCCTGTTGCTCATACCATTCCCTCATTTTACTACTGCTGAACCAAACCAGTTTTTTTACATCATTTGTGCAGCAACCCTTGTAGATCACAAGCCCCTTCATTTAATCTGTAAAACAAAAATATTGCACATGTAATTTAGACCCCTCCCTTTACGGATTAGTACCATAAAACTTTTAAACATTATATTAGTGTTTAAACCCCTGTAGAAATATTTTTTTTGGTTAAATTTATCAGAAACAAAATTAAGGCTACTACGGTAAAAAGGCATGTGGTTAACTAGAGCAATGCATTGGGTGAATTATTGAACAAGCCACCATTTTCTCTGTAAATATATATTTCTAGAGATCCTATTGACTTGACATTTTCAGCAGATGTCGTTAACAAGTCATGCAGTTCACACATACAAAAAAATCAATCTACAGATGTCCAGAAATTAAGCTATGTCTAATAATGTGGAATGGCACAGGGGAAAATCATTGAACACGTAAAGAAAGGGAGGTGGAAAAAGGCATGGAAAGCCGAGACACCAGTCAAAATCTCTCAGTAATAAGAAAGTAATCCTACCCCTTGTTAGTGTAAATTCATATCAGCTGTTCCATCCTAAATGACGGCCTATAAAATGTGTCTCTGGTATCAAACATTAAATATCTCATGATGGGTAAAAGTAAAGAGCTTTCTCAAGACCTTCACAACCTTATGTTTGCAAATCATAATGATGGCAGACAGAGGAGTATCGTGTCACATTTATTTCAAAACACCCGCGAGCAAAAAAAACATCTTCGCATGTATGTTAAACTACTTCTGCGCATGGTGTATCTACCACCGCACAAGAAATTCACACATGTGTGAGAAACTGCTGCTTCTAGAGGGGAAAATTGCTCTCCATGGGCGCCACACTGGAAGTTTGGAGTTTGTCTAAGAGCCAAAGATCACTTGTGCATAGCTTCAGAAAGACCTAGAATTAGCAGGTAAATTGTTTTAAAGGAATGAAGTCAGACACCACAGCCTATATGCATTCTCACCAGGCAAGATTGCATTGCTGACGAAAAAGCATGTTGAAGCTTATTTAACGTTTGCTGTATAACATTTAGACAAGCCTGTGAAAAACTGGGAGAATACAGTCTGGTCAGATGAGACCAAAACTGAACTCTTTGGACGCCATAATAAACATCATATTTGGAGGTCACTGTGCAATGGCACTGCACATCACCCCAAAAACACCAACAGTGAAGTTGGGTGGTGGGAACATCATAGTGTGGGGCTGTTTTTCAACACATGGTACTGGCAAACCTCAAATAACTGAAGGAAGGATCAATGAAAAACTAAATTCTCGATTAAGAATCTGCTGCCATCTACCATGATGATGAAGATAAAATGTGGGTGGATGTTTTAGCAAGACAATGACCTAAAAAACTCAGCCAAGGAAACTCTCAATTAGTTTCAAAGAAATAAAATAAAGCTACTAGAGTGGCCCAGCCAATCACCTGACTTGAATCCAATAGAAGATCTATTGAAAGAACCAAAGATCATAGAAGAGGCCCTCGAAACCTTCAAGATTTAAAGGTGGAAGAATGGGCCAAAATCACACCTGAGCAATACATGTAACTCATTTCTCCATACAGCAGGTGTCTTGAAGCTGCCATTGCCAACAAAGACTTTTGTACAAAGAATTAAATCAATTTCAAAAAGGGTGTTCAATATTTTTCCCCAGTGCCATTTTACATTATTACACGTAAATTAATTTTTTTGACATATATGGTATGATTTCTTTGTTGATTGCATGGATCGTTACTGATATCTGGTGAAAATGTTGTGTCAATAGCAACTCTAGAAATATATTTACTGAATAATAGTGGCGGTGTTCATTACTTATTTTACCTGCTGTATATGCTCTACCTACATATAGAACTGTTAGCTTAGCTTTTTAATTCAGTCTTTAAAATGCATTAAAAAGACAAATAAAATAAAATAAACAATACTCTAATAGTTTATCTGGAAGAAACTTCTGGATAAACAGAACTGGTTAGAACGTACAGCAGGAAATAAAAGCACACAAAGAAATTTGCATTGCAGTGTCATAATAAAGGCGTCTAAAGAAAAGTTGAACCATAATCTTAAACTGATGATGTTCCTGAATTCTAGCCCTACATATTCTCAACCTAAAATCAAATGTTTCTTACTTGGAAGCTGGGACCATTACCCTGGTACTGTAGATAACTGAAATACAGTTAACTGCTAGTAGTTACTGTTGAACTTTTTCCTATTGTTCGACTTTGGATACTTTGGAAATATTCCCATCAAAGTCCACAGACTTCTCAGCCGGAGTGAAAGACTTCTGGTGCTCCTCCTCTTAAAAACAGATTCTTTCTCTAAAGGGGAGCCCTATTTGAAATATTAAAGTGAGCTATATAGAATGTGAAAAAAATTACAATTTAAAATGCAGGAGTTATAATGAAAGTGGAAAAATTTAATTTAATTACTAATAATTAAAACACAGGCTTTTTTTAGGGGTTTCCATTGTATGATTATTAAGATGGGAAGGACATTTTTCAGTGTAACAAGCTCAAACAGTTTCTGTGTAGATTGGAAGGTATTACAAGAAAGAAGTAAAAAAAACTTAAAGCTCCCTTTTCCCTTTCAGTTCTAATCCATGGTACAGAGAAGCACAAAATATCTTTGGCGTTTTATGCGTAACGGCTT